TAGCTCTAAAATTATGTGGTGTTCGTCATTTATTTTTAAAATTCCCAATATCTTCTATAACATTTTGTTTTGATCATCGGATGGGTGGGGGTGGGGTGAACGTAAAGTGTACAGTTACATTTAACATTAGGGGTGGGTGTCTAGAAATGTTTCGTGATTTTTGTATGGATAATGTGGTCGAGACAAAACATTCTCATTTGTTTCTGGTGTTATTTAATATGTGCACGGAACTATTTTATAAATAGAGAATACATCTTCTATACTTCTGAGCCTGCAGTTTCACCAAGTTTAAAATATATGGGTAAGAATGGTTTAATTACCGTATAATGATCGTAATATAGTGATTTCATAAATGGGTATCGATAACCTGTGAATAATCTAATTATTAGTAGCTGTTTACAACATTAATACGGCTTCTAAAGTCACCAAGTTCTCATTTTCGTATTTGCCAACTAGCTTTTTTCAAACCAAAAATGAAATTATTTTTATAAAATCGGTAACAATATATATAAAAGTTAGTTTCGCTATTGTTAAGGTACTTAAAAATCGTAATCAATGGTAATGATAGCCTGCAAGATGTAGGCTAGCTTACAAAATATAGCCTACGTCAAATTGTGATTGTTTTTAAAGAAGCGTACAGTTTGTCATTATTTTTTAGAATGCTTAACAAATTGTCCTAAACGTAGTTACAATTTTAATATAATATTATTGCCTAGGCCTACTGATACTTAATTTGATTATAGTTTAGTAAAAATTTTTTATAATTGTTGCATTTTGGGTACTCTATTTTAAAATCTTAAAACGAGGCTTAGTTACAAATAGCTGCTTTGTTTTTTTTTTTGTTATCAGCGGGAATCATGTTCCAAACACATAATTTAGTTCGGAAATTTATCTCCTGGCTAACGAGATTTCGAATTTTAAGTGAGATAGACCGAGACTTAGACGCCCTATAATGGTAGTAGATCTGAAAACCTTTAAATAAGTAAAAAAAAAAAACCACAAAAACTTCAATACACCTAGGGTACGTCTAATCGATATCACGCCATTTAAATGAAGTTTCTGTACTTTACTGTTCCGGAAAAATGTTATAAAAATTTTCTTCCCCGACCCTTGGAAATCCCCACAATCTATTTATAAACACGTGAACATACTGTTGTGTAAACATCGGTCTCTGACGGTCGCCGCAGGGGTTCTGGTGCCGAGTGCCAGGGTGGGGTGGGGTGGGGGGGGGGGGGTGGGGGGGTAGTGAAGGCGCCGACAGCTTGTGTTAGTTTTAGCTTTAATCTATCAATTATGCAATCACCCGCACAATATACGAATCAATAATTTCTTCAGAATTGTGAACTTTAAACGAAAACAGTTTACCTTACTTCATGACATTAGAAGTAATATTTCTTCAGAAGGTAGGACATTAAAAGAAAACACTTTTGCACAATTTCCTCTCTTCACGAACGATAACAGTAAGGAATATTACAATATTTTTTGTTTGTTTTTGCTGTAAAGTTTAAAAAAAAATAACAATCTAAAACACGATTGAACTACCGGTAATTTTATTGTTTTCTCGTAAACAATAATGAAAAAAAAATATTTTCAAGAATCGTTTTCTTCTTCTTCTATTGTTTTTAATCTTTTTTTTTTTCTATTAAGCGAAGTTCAGCTCGTCCAATTACATGTGGTCTTATTAATTGCCCTGATTTTAAATTATCATTTCAATTATCAGTTACGGTTTTAATATGCGTGTAAGCACTTTGAGAGTTAAGTTGATTAAGGATTAGGACTAAGATTATATTTAACCTCTTGACAAAAGTCTTGAGCATTTGAAGGTTTGGTTCTTATAAAATGATTGGCAGCAAGTACAGAAGGTGCAGTGTCTGGTTGTAAAGCTAATCTAGTTAGGGTTAGGGTTATGGCTGGGTTAGGGTTAGGATTATGGCTGGGTTAGGGTTAGGGTTATGGCTGGGTTAGGGTTAGGGTTATGGCTGGGTTAGGGTTATGGCTGGGTTAGGGTTAGGGTTATGGCTGGGTTAGGGTTAGGGTTATGGCTGGGACTATGACTGGGATTAAGGAAACGTTAATTACCAATTAATAGATGTTTTAATACATCGCACCGATATATCAATACAGTGTTAATCAATTAAAATTTTGATTATTTTAATGTTGATGAAGCAGAATAGGCTTTATAAAAATATATCAAAAACGAAAATTTCATAAAACTTGATGTTAAACCAACGACGTGGTATCTACAGATTCACAATGTTATTTTATAGATAACTTGAAGATCATGAGCTAGACTTGAGATAGATACACTCAATCAGGCACACCATAAGTTTGCCTTTTGCTCAGTTCATCCTTTTCCATTCCTGCCCAAGGCACATGGGGCAGATGAAGTAGAGTTTATCTGTTTTATAGATCTCGGCATATGAACGGATAGTGTAGTCAGGACTATTCCCAGCGGTCTTTTTTTCCCTAACGTGAACTGGGTGGACTCATGGACGTTCTACGGACTTGAACCCGGATTCGAATTATAGACTTTCGGGCTTGAAAGCTCTCTACCACTAGGCCACGCCGTCCCTCCTTTTGTTTTTTGAGTTAGGGACACAGACTGAGATATGTTAATCACGGAGCCAAACAAGAGGCATCTGGATCGTATGTCGTTGAGTTGTTTAACAAATCTATGGCAACAAAGTCTCATAACTTTGAGTCTTTCAATAGTTAGTACAATTCCATAGTCAGATTAAGCAATAATCGGATACACATTTATTGCCTACACTACACACTTTATCTAAACCTAACCCTAACTTTATGTATCAGCCCAAATTTATCCGCTAATCTTCTCGTCATGAGTAAGGTATTTGAAGTGAGGCGACACATTTCACAACTTACGTGTTGTTGTTTTTTTTTTGTGCATTTTAGTCTAACGATCACGTACATTTTCTCCCTCAGCGTGACTATGACGTGACAAACATCAATAAAGTCTGGGACTATCACGTGACATACTGTGAGGTCTCCGCATCAAAAGTTTAAAAATGGCGGCTACCCGTCCGTAACATAAGCCAATACCATTTTTTAATCCACTCAATAATTAGGGTTATTAACGGTAAAAATATTTCTTAGCTAATTATTATCGAACCGGTGGGGAAGGGGTTCAATAGGATGTGGGGGTGGGGATGTTCCGTAAGACAATGTCAAGGTCATACAAAGAGACGGAAGCAATCTGTGAGCAGACGATTTATATTTACATCTACGACTAGTTAGAATTGATGTACGGATTTTTTTCCATGTCGTCCCCGCTAAATTCCACCCCCCCCCCATCCTCACCGATGTTTATCATTACATAACCACACGACTCTCACACACAAACACATATACATACATAGACGGGTGGATTGATCGTCCCCCACCCCCCTCGCTGTAATGAAGCTAATAACGGCGGAAAAAAATGGCGACTCCGGTTATAATTAGACATCCTTGATTGTAATTATCATAATTAAAACGCGCGTGTTGATTCCAGCCTTTATCTGAGCGGCAGCGACCTGTTATTTGATATCTCTTTATCTGTTCTCACTTGATCTCTGTCTATCTGCTCACAAAGACGCTGAAATCGCAGACAAAGGGAGGTAGATACTTTCTAGAGGAAGCAACTCTTTAAAAGTGTTTTATGAGATTTTTTTTTTTAGACAAACCGATGATTGGGTAATGAATACTTTAATACTTTAATGCTGTAATGTTGAGAATAATGAAAAAAAAATCTAATTAACTTTTGATTAACTTGTAATTAAGTTATAAAATGTGGTGGTCAAGAAGTTCAAATATCGTAAAGATTGGTTTCGTATCTAACACTGACCAAATCCGAGTCTCCTCAGACTTAATTGGTACCTAGAAATACTTCAGCTATATGGGTATGATGTAGTACAGTTGTTAAAATAGTTGTTTAAATAGTAGCCTTCAGTAGCCCTTAACACCATAGCTGTAGACCAGAGGCGTCACGAGGACGGTGCTAGGGGGGTACCAGTGTTTCTTCCAGACTTTTTTCTCCGGGGGGGGGGGGCACTTGAAATTTTCGGGGTGACGGACTGAAATTTCCGGGGGGGGGGGGGGGGGTAGACCTTCTTTGAGAGAGGGGCACCCCGAAGAGATGCCTGGAAAAAACTCTGGGGGAGGGGGGTGCGGACCGCACCGGGTGACACCAAGGCAAAAAAATTGCAAAATTTATATTAAAAATTACTTTTTTTTCCAGTTTAAATACTGAATGATTAAAGTTAAATAGACCTTTAAGTACAAAGTGACAATATCGACAAAAAAGGGGTGGGTTGATGGAACATAATCCAAGCCTCAGCCCCTGTACAAGTTCTATCACTTCATTGTTGTCAATCTATGTGTCTATGTCTATATGTAGTGTTTATGTCTATTTATGTAGTGTCTATGTCTTTGTCTATTTATGTAGTGTCTATGTTTATATATGTAGTTTTTATATTACATTTATTTAGATCATATGTTAATCTATGTAGTATCTACATCATTCTATGTAGTACCTATGTCCATCTATGTAGTGTATGCCTACTATGTCTATTTATGAAGTGTCTATGTTTATATATGTAGTTTATATATTATATCTATTTTGTTGTATATCAATCTATGTAGTATCTATGTCAATCTATGTAGTGTCTATGTCTACCTGTGTAGTATATGTGTCTTCTTATGTAGGTTCTAGGTCTATCTATGTAGCTTCTATGCTTTGTCTTGTAATACTGTTTGCCGGTTTATTTTACATATGGCTTATCCATTTTAACCATCTTTTCCCAATTTATTTTGTGTTTTCCCATACTGTTTGTGATGGGTACTGTATCAAACCGCTTAAATTTTCCATACACTCTGTAGGCAGATACACAAACTGAAACTCAAACAAAGTTTGAAGAATTTTTTCTACACCTTGTCGATTTGAATGTAATAAACGTCCTAGGAACAGTTTTTTTATCTCGATTCTATTCCTCCCCCACCAGATGGCGTACCACCCCTACATGTATCAGAGGTCTGCCGACTTCCAAGGTCAATCGACCCACCCCTCGCAGTTCCTGCCCTCGAGGGTGACGCCCTTCTCCTTCCCCATCGGGGCGCCCTTCTCCATCAACGCTGGGGCGGCCCACACTGCGGGGGTGGCGGCCTACTGCCAGAATCCTGGCGCCCTCAACACCCTGCCCAGTTTCCTGTTGGCGGACTATATGTCACACCCGGAGTACTATAGAACACTCAGGTAAAGAAGAACATTTATAGAACGCTCAGGTAAGGTAGAACATTTAGATATAGAACACTCAGGTGAGGTAGAACATTTTTAGAACACTCAGGTAAGGTAGAACATTTAGATATAGAACACTCAGGTAAGATAGAACATTTATAGAACACTCAGGTAGAATAGAACATTTATAGAACACTCAGGTGAGGTAGAACATTTATAAAACACTCAGGTAAGGTAGAACATTTATAGAACACTCAGGTAAGGTAGAACATTTATAGAACACGCAGGTAAGGTAGAACATTTATAGAACACTCAGGTAAGGTAGAACATTTATAGAACACTCAGGTAAGGTAGAACATTTAGATATAGAACACTCAGGTAAGATAGAACATTTATAGAATACTCAGGTAAGTTAGAACATTTATAGAACACTCAGGTAAGGTAGAACATTTAGATATAGAACACTCAGGTAAGATGGAACATTTAGATATAGAACACTCAGGTAAGGTAGAACATTTATAGAACACTCAGATAAGATAGAACATTTTTAGAACACTCAGGTAAAGTAGAACATTTATAGAACACGCAGGTAAGGTAGAACATTTATAGAACACTCAGGTAAGGTAGAACATTTATAGAACACGCAGGTAAGGTAGAACATTTATAGAACACGCAGGTAAGGTAGAACATTTGTAGAACAGGTAGAATAGAACATCTATAGAACACTTAGGTAAGGTAGAACATTTAGATATAGAACACTCAGGTAAGATGGAACATTTAGATATAGAACACTCAGGTAAGGTAGAACATTTATATAGAACTCTCAGGTAAAATAGAAAATTTAGATATAGAACACTCAGGTAAGATAGAACATTTAGATATAGAACACTTAGGTAAGATAGAACATTCAGAAATAGAACATTCTTGTAAGATAGAACATTTAGATATAGAACACTCAGGTAAGATAGAACATTTAGATATTATAGAACATCTACATTAGACAGAACATTTAAATAATCATAAGATAGTATATAGAGTGTATATTACAACTGACAATATCACCAGAAATTTACGCTAGTTAATTATATCATTTAATTAAAAATACATTTAATGAAATATTAGATGAATTTGCCATCAGGTTAATTTCATATTGGTTAAGTAATTGGATGTTTAAGAAATAAATGTTAAGCACTGATCAGAAAAAACTTCAAGAATTGCATTTTTACTTTCTAATATACAAAGTATAGAGAAAGTCTTGTTATAGTGCAAAAACAAACCGGGAATGATCTCCCCTAAACTTTCTCGAATATTCTTATATAAAACAACAGGGGATGGAAACTCGGGATATAGTTATACTTTTTAATCCATTTTAAATACTTAAACTTTTTCAAATAAAATAGAATATCATTGAAAAAAGAATTGCGCACCAAGCGAACGCCAAATAAAGATGTTCATAATAGTGCGCAATATTATTAGTACTTTATAAATTTACATGCGTTTTTTCTGAAATCGGAAATAGCGTAAATAAGTACTTCCGGTCAACGGAAATTACTCAAAATTTGACAGAAGGTAGAGAATTAGATTTTTTATACATGTGAAATTTCATTTATCTATCTGAAATAGTACTCGAGTTATAGGCTTTTGAAAAATTCAAAGTTGAAAAAGTACCACTTCCGGTTATCGGAAATTGCTCAAAAGTTGACAGGGTTCTACGATTTTGATAAAATACTTATATATGAAATTTCATCAACCTAGCTGTAACGGTACTCAAGTTATCGTGTTTACACACACACACACACACACACACACACACACACACACACACACACACACCACACACACACACACACACACACACACACACCACACACAGACACACAGACATACGGACAAGATTGCAAAATTATGTTTTTCCGTATCAGTGAGGTGTAAAACGTCGAGATTTGCAAAAATCTCGATTTTGTTTTTCACGATTACAAGACCTTTCTCTATACTTCGTATATACGAGAGAGTAAAAATGGATTAAAAATTATTTCTATATTCCGAGTTGACATCCCCCGAAAGTTTAAGGGAGATCACTCCCGGTTTATTTATTTGGTGCACATGAAAACTTTTTTGACGACTAGAGCTGTACACGTACAATAATAATAACAGAATAATTGTTGACTTAATGCACGCGAAAACTTATAGAATTCTGTTTACTGTACAGAGCCGCGGCGGGATTCGAACCCAAGGACGACGGGCGTGAAGGACAACCCTAAAGCTGAGCTGGGACGGGATGAACCTCTGGGGGACACATTCCACCACCACGGCACCGAGATGGTCATCACCAAGTCGGGCAGGTGAGACGTTTACCTGATGTTGCTGTTATGGGCGGGGGGGGGGGGGGATGTTGACCTGTTGTTGCTGTTATGGGGGGGAGGGTAAATGTTTACCTGTTGTTGCTGTTATGGGGGAGGGGGTAAATGTTTAGCTGTTGTTTGCTGTTATGGGGGGGGCGTTAAATGTTTACCTGTTTGTTGCTGTTATGGGGGGTGGGGGGTAAATGTTTACCTGTTGTTGCTGTTATGGAGGGGGGGGGGGTTAAATGTTTTAGCTGTCGTTGCTGTTATGGGGGGGGGGGGGGTAAATGTTTGGCTGTCGTTGCTGTTATGGGGGGGGAGGTAAAATGTTTAGCTGTCGTTGCTGTTATGGGGGAGGGGGGGGGTTTAAATGTTTACCTTTCATTTCTGCTTTAGTGTGTGTGTGGGGGGGGGGGGGTAAGAAGTTTATCTGTAGTTTCTGCTGGCTGGTCATTTCAAAATGTTGGGGGATGGGGGGGGGAGGGGTTGAATTGTACCCGTGATTTCTGTTGGACACTTCAAAGGTCTTGGGGGGGGGGGGAGGTCGGGTGTAAAATATTCACCCCGTGACCTTCTGGTGCTCTCTAAAAGTCTGGGGGGTGGGGGAGGTGGCGGTTAGGGTGTTAGGAAGTTTACCTATGATTTCAGGTGGGAATTTCAAATTCTGAGTGGGTGGGGTGGGAGGAGAAGAGGGGGCGGGGGGGGGAGTAGACTCGACATTTCTTTTGATTATTTCAAAATCTAACATGTAAACAGCTTGCCTTAGATTCGTATCAGTATGTTAGATCAATATAAAATATTTGTAGTTGCATTAAACCACACCCATGAAGACCCCCCCTACCACCATGCAAACTATCGCCTTGGGTTTGATGTAACAACGTTGATGGGTCTATTATCACTGTGTGTTCTTTTTGGGTGTGTCGAATGTAGGACAAACTGTCATCTTACCTCATACATGAGTACAGGTGGTACTAGACTGAGTGCATGGTAACCTTGCACTCTCTCCACACCATCAACCCCCCTCCTCATTATTTAGACAAGGCCCCTTAGACAAAAAGTCTGAAACCATTCTCCTGTTTTACTTTTCAAACCACTAAAAACTAGACATTTCACTGTCTGCAAGTTCCCACCTTTTGTCTGAACATCAGGTAGGTGTCAAGACACCTCAGGCTGTCAAGACACCTGGGGCTGTCAACATCTCCCACCTGACAATTATTAGACGTCTTTAGTCCACCCCGTCCGCCGTCCCACTCACCCCCCCACCCCATCGTCTCACTCACCCTAACCCATAGTCACCCCATCGTCTCCCTCACCCCCACCCCCATCGTCACCCATCGTCTCCATCACCCCACACACGACACTCAACGATG